GCGCTCCCCCAGCTGTCTGGGCAACCTATTCCAGTGTCTGTCACCCTCATGTTGAAGAACTTTTTCCTAACTTCTAACCTAAATCTGCCCTTTTCTATCTTAAAGCCATTCCCCCTCATCCACTCACTCCAAACCCTTGTGAACAGTCCCTCCCCTGCTTTCCTGTAGCCCCTCTCAGGCACTGGAAGGTCTCTCTAAGGTCCCCCCAGAGCCTCCTCTTCTCCAGGCTGAACACCCCAACTCCTCAGCCTGTCCTCACAGCAGAGCTGCTCCAGCCCTCCCAACATTGCTGTGGCTCTCTGCTGAACACCTTCCAACAGCTCCACATCCTTCTGGTGCTGGGGGCTGCAGAGCTGGACACAGACTCCAGGGGAGGTCTCACAAAACTGGCCAGCCCGGTGTGGTCACGATCTCTTATCCCTTCTGGACCAGGCTGTCCCACCTCTGGAAGCCTCCATCCCAAGCAGGGAGGAGAACACCAGGGCAGCAAAGCGAGGGCTGAGCGACATCCCACTTTCCTGGAAGAGCTGTCCCAGGGCAGCTGTTGGAAACCCTTCTGCCTCCCCGTGGGAGAGGCTGGATGGCTGTGGAGAGTGACATTTCTGGGCTAGGCTCAGTGGCTCCCAGCAGGCTCTGCTGTTGGCATTGCACAAAGAGTCAGCTGGTGATTAAAAACAACAACAGCCACTCGAAGTTAAACCAAGATAAAACCCGCGAGCGCTGTGCAGATGTTGAGGCAGTGCAAGAGCTGATTCTACCCGTGGTTTTAACCCAAAAACCTCATTAATCCTGGATTGTACCTTTCCTGACACTTTTGAATGTATTTTCTCCCATAGACTTCTCTCGACACACCTACAGTTCACATGCAAAGCAATAATACACAGGATGACATTTGTTCTGCAGAACCTGAATGGCAGAAGTGAATCTGAGCAAAACAGAAAGAAACTGGGTAGGAGATGGGGGTCCTCCTAAAGGAAGGATTTTTCTGGAAGATGTACCTACCTGGAGCACCAAAACACTAATTATATTCATTCTTTGTTCCACAGAATCATAGAATGTCTGGGCTAGAAGGGACCTCCAAAGGTCATCTAGTCCAAATCATAGAATTGTTTGGGTTGGAAGAGACTTTTAAGATCAAGTTCAAGCATTAATCCAGCACTGGCAGGTCAGTCTCCTTGATTCCTGGCTCTGGGGCCAAGGAGAAACGCTACATGATTAGTCTTAATTTCACGTGGGGAAACTGAGGCACCCACCCATTCTCTCCACCCACTTGCAGACCCTTCCAACACACATAAAGGTCTCTTTGCCATTTCTTTGTGAAAGGAATAACCCTGTTTTTGTCCATTCCCTTCCAGTGTAGAGATGTAACTGCTGCTAATCCACCACGGGATCTCCAACTACCAAAAAAACCCCAAACCCTAAACAAAAAAGTATTTAGAGGCAGGCTCTGAAGTCCTTGGTGCAGAGCACCTTCTTCTTCTGAAAAAATCATCTCTCTTGCCATCTGCAGACCCCCGTGGTTTCTTCACCCCCTTGTCCCCTACTCAGATGAAGACCAGCTATGACAGAGGCAAGTCCTGCAGATCCCACATGATGAAAGAAAATGAGACAATTCCTTCCCACCCCTCCAGGAATGACAACCACCATGAACAACAAACCACCCTAAGAACATCAAGGTGGGCCCAGCCCAGGAGCCATGGAGAAAAGGAGTTGCCAACTGGGGCAGAAAACATCTTGCCTGGCTGGAGGGAAGCTCAGATGTCAGATGACTGTAATGGCAACTTTCCCCTGGGATGTGTTTCTGAAGAGATCTGCCAGACCTCAGAGAAGGTCCCTCACCAACTCCCCAGTGTGAACAGGAACAAGGAGAAGGTCTTAAAGAAAGTTTCAGCTACACAAGAAGTAAGAGATGAGCCCAAGGATTCCCCTTCCAAGGCACTTTTCACATTTTGGGCCAACAAAGTGAACAACAGCAACAAAACCACCACCTTCCAGAAGCTACTGCAGAAGTCCTCGGTGACGGCAGGAACCTCCTCGCCAGCTCTCCTTCCTGAGGAAGGGTTTAGCAGCTTGGATGAAGAAAAGCAGGCTAATAATCCCCAGAGAAAGACCAGGAGAGATCTCTTCTCTGACTCAAAGGTTTTCAGCCATGTTGACACCCATGTCCTACACGTGAGCCAGCAGGTAGGTCCTCGTGTCCTTCAGTAGATGGTGCCATCAGCAGGTCCACATCCTAACATTCAACTTTTCACTGACAGCAGTGACAAGCTCCTGCCTTGTAACAAGATTAGAGGATCTCATGAGACCCTGGGCTGTGAATTTGTCCCAACCATGGTCAAAGATCATGGTGCTACCCCTGAAGAGCTGCTGCCCACCCAGGAGCCACTGCTGCCTGCTCCCAGCCAGCACCTCTGTGGAGCTGCAATATACAGTGTTTGCTCCAGCTCCCCATGCCAAACTAGGAAGCTTCTGGGCTGGTTTTGTCATGGGACAAGATTTTTATCATGGTCCCACACAGCATTGCAGGGGGGTAGAGGGATCCTGGAAAACTTTCTAAGATGGGTGGAAGGGGGAGAGGGAGGGATGAGACCACAGGATGTCCTGAAACCGTGTAGGTTGTGTTGAGTTGGGCTTGGAGGTGATGAGCCAGCATAACCCTGCAGAAAAAATCACACAGAGCCAGCAATACCCACACAGTCTGGCCACGTCCACCAAGCCCTCTGGATCTGTGGCAGCCCAAGTCCTGCTTTTCCTCAAGCAGGAGGCATCAGTTCTGTCCTGTTTTCAGTATACCTGCCATGATATGATGCTCCCACTTTCTGGATGCTCAGGAGCCCAGGAGGGGAGGGCTAAATTTTGGAATTCCTTCCCACTGCCTGAACCACATGCTGCCAGTGGAATCTCTCCCCAAGGGTCAGCACAACTGCCCCAAGCAGCAGATGCTGAACTGGTGCCATGTCTGCAGCTTGCACGTCAGCTTGTTAGAGAGAGCAGAGAGCCACAAGGGATATTTGTCCTCTTTTATTGAAACCTGTACTTTGTACCTATCCTGAGGCTAATCTCCCTTGGGAAGGAGGATGCTTGAGGATTTCAGAGTCTACCTTGTCTATTAAAAAGAGATGTGAGGGAGAGGGAGTTGGAATATGGGAAAAAGAGGGTAATAAACAACCAAAAATACCTCCAAGGCAGTGGGGAGTCATGGAAACAAGTAGTTTCTCTGTTTATTCCAAGTGCTAGCTGCAGTAAGACCTGGTGAACCTCATCTCTTCCTCTTTGCCATGAATTATTGGTGCCAAGAGCAGCAGTAGAGCAATTTACTGACCACCTATGAGTAGGGTACTTCAAATCTGGGAGTGGCTGCTGCTTGCCCAGTGGTGCTGTGAGGATACAGGGTTGTCCCCTCTCCCCATGCACCAAGCCCTGCTGTCAGTCCCCAGGGGGAAGGTGGTTGATGGGAGAGCCCCAGGCACTGCAGGCACAAAGCTCAACCTATTCCCTGGTCACTTAGGAGAAGCCTTCAGACTGCCTGCACGTATCCATCCTAACCACCTGGAGAAGGAGGGGTCAACTAGATGACCTTTAAAGGTCCCTTCCAACCCCAAACATTCTATGATTCTATGAAAAACTCTTGGCAGGATCATTGCTTGGGTTGTTCTGGAGAAAACTTCATCCACCAACTCCAAACACTGTGGTGGAGCCAACAGCTACTGCTACACAAGATGCTCTGACCCCTTTCTTTACAGTCCTCAGGCACAATCAGGACTGGGATAAACTGGGAATATCACAACTCTCAATCTAGGATCTATCTTTTACCATCTCTAAGACAAAGATTAGCATGGACTTGGGCTGAATTTGCACCAAGATTTGCCAACAGGGAAGCAAGTAGCTAGATATTTAATGGCTGAGTATTAGGGTTTTTTTTTCCTTGGGAATAATTCACATTATTTGTTTGCTTAGAAGCTGCACACCCATAAAAACCTCTGACAGAAGCACAAGGGACCTGCAGGAGCACTGGCATTTTGCAATAGGTGCTTTCCTCACTGCACTATCATTTTGAATCCCACATTCCAAGGAAATTCCTTGGCCCTTACGAAAACAGCATTTCCCACCAGCCAAAAAGCAAGAAATTTCCATCTCTGTGAAACTATCTGACAGCTGGTTGGGGCAGGGGAGTCATTGAGGAATGAAATAGCAGGGGAAGGATGGTGGAGAAACGAGCTGGGCTAAATTTAACCCAGCCAAAGAAAAGCCTGCTGCTAAAAATGCCTCTGCTGTCACAAAGGAGGGAAGAGCCCAGAAATGGGAATGCATGAATGGGAGGAAAGGGGCAGAAATGCTTTTATTGGGATCACCTCTAGATTAAAAAGTGAGTGGTGTTCTAGGGGTAGGGGCAGAAGTCTTCTTTCCACTCGTTTTGGTGCAAGGGTTTGGGTGAGGTTTCAGAGCCTTCAGGAAGAACATCTTGAGCCCTAATTTTGAGCTTTTTCAGCATAAATACACTGAGATGTTAATAGGTGCAGGGCTGGAAACCTGCTGTCCCTGGTTAAGGGTTGCATAGTAGCATCACTGGAGAGATCCAACTCTAGGACAAGGTCTTGTGGGCCAGAGGACACGTTGGGCTGGGCAGAGAGGGCAGCAGAGCAATGACACTGTCCATCCCAACCAGAGGAATGGGAAATGCCACCCTCATGTTCTCCAGCTTCCAACCCCAGCCCTCTGGCTTTTATAAACCCAGGACAAGGAAAATGGGGACAGACTCTGTTGTACCACAAAGACTAGTTCTGCATTTGAACTTTTCTTTGGTGGGGATGACCCAAAAACACAGCTTTGGGGCTTTTGTGGTGTGTGTTCTCTCTCCAGCAAGCCCACCACGTGGAGAGGTCACCCACCCCTGCAGCAGTGACCCCCAGATTCCCTTTAACTCACCCATCTTCTCCACTGCAGCTGAAGCCTGGGCACGCCAGGCTGTCCATCCAGGCCATCGTTCCCCTGATCACAGCCACCTCCCAGAGCACACTGGAGATGCTGAGGGCAATCTGGGTCTGGCTCTGCCACAACATTGGTAAGTCTGGTCCCACGGCTTCACAAAGACCTGAAAGACCCTTCCTTCAGCTGCCACCTCCTGGATTGGGGTTCCTCACGCCCTGCAGGGTGGAGACTCCGCAGTGTTCCTGTTGCAGTCAGGAGGTGAAAGGTCCTCTTGAACTCAGGAAAGCGACTGGAGCAGGATCTGGTTCCCACCATGGGTCCTACCATCCTGGAAGTGACACCTGCTTCCCTGGCACCCAGAGGCCAGACCCCTGGAGGCACCAGTAGAGCCCACCTGCCTCCAGTGCATCAACACATTGGAGGCTGTTTCCATGAGGCTGAGCTTAGCCTGGCAGCAGTCAGCTGGGGACATGGGAATCTCAGCATGATGTAGTCACTTCGTGTTACTTCACCCCACTACATCCATGCGTGGGAGATGGTGGGATTGGCACCATACCTCACTTGAATGGCACCATGGCCATTTACACGTGTGGGGAACTCCTCCGAGGCCTTGGCAATTCTTTGTTCACATGGGGAACTGTTAAACTCTTGGATGATGATGACTAAAAGAACTGTCGTGGCTTCCAGGGTGGGTGGGCAGAGAAATAAGGTTGGGCTGAAGAAGGAATGGGATCAGTTTGGACAGAATAAGCCCTTACATTGGCCTGAAATTGTGTGGTATTCTCCCTTTCCTAGAATATGATGTGGATGGCTTCTTAGGGCTGTCTCAGAAGATCCACATGCCAGAGCAGGTCCTGCAAACGGGGAGAGCTGTGTGTTCTGGCTATGCCCATTTATGCCAGGAAATGTGCAGGTAAAACTCACCTTGGGCTTTCTTCTCCTGCCCCCTTGAATCACTGAATTCTTTTGGCTGGAAGAGACCTTTAAGGTCATCACGTCCAACTGTTAACCCAACACCGCCAGGTCACCACTGACCCATGTCCCTCAACACCACATCTACATGGCTCTGAAATCACTCCAGGGATGGGGACTCCACCACCACTTCCCTCTGGACAACCCTTTCAGGGAAGCCATTGTTCCTCATGCCTAACCCAAACCTCCCCTGGCACAACTTGGATAGATTGACCAGAACCAGATACGAAGGATGGGGTTGGGAGCAGCTGTGGGGAATGCAGGGGGCTGGATCAAAGCTGAACGTGGCCAACAGCTTGCCCAAGTGTAGGAGGTCGTACTTACCATGGTGGTTGGGTTGCTCTCCAGGAAAGCAAGCACAAAGCACTGTTTGGTCTGCAGTCACCTCCCCTGCTGACTCTCCCTGGACAGGGAAGCGGGGTTGACCTGTGTGGAGGTCCCAGGGCTTGGCCGGAGCCCAGGCTCCCGTGGAGGCCGGTGGTGCCAGCAGCAGAAGAGCAGCCACATGTGGAACGCGGTGGAGCTGGAAGGACAGTGGTACCTCCTGGATGCTTGCTGGGGTGCAGGGACTGTGGATGCAGAGAACAGGTTGTTCATGCCCAGGTGAGACAGCTCTTCCCCTGCCATGACTGCAGACGTGGTCCCCAGCACAAATGGACAAGGCTCAACCTGACTTTGGATACACCCCAGAATGGTCATCCCAACCCTTCCAATCCCATCCTAATCTTACCTTCCAGCTCCTTAAAGTCTGGCTTCACCAGAACTTGAGCCCTTATTTTGAGGTCCAGAGAACTATTCTGCTCATCCTCAGCTACGGTGGGTGCTCAGGGACCTCACGAAAACCTGGATCATCTACCTGGAAACACCTCCAGGAAGTACCTTATTCCCTGGGCTGGGGCAGTAACTTTTCAGATAACTTCCCTCTCCAACTTGTTTTTAATCTGCAATGAGTCACGAAGTAACAAACCCTCATTTCCACAACAACTTTGCTCTTATGTGGTTCCATGTGTAATTACTTGAGATTTCTCAGCCCGTGCTAAGCAAATAATGACTCTCATGAAAGTTATTTGTACAATTTAATAATTTCCATTAACTTATTGTGGGATTGCTTTTTATAATTTCTTTTTTCTCTAATAATGCATAATGAAATAATTGTGGAATTTCTAATAGGTAATTATCTTGCTGAGAACAGCTTAAAACACCAATGAGGGTGGGTTGGTTTTAGATGAGCATGGGGAAGAGAGGAGAAGGAGAATGAAACATCATCTAGACCAACAGGCAGAGGTAATAGCTTCTTGTGGGTACAACACAGTGTTCTCAAGAAATTCAGGTCAACAGGTCCAACAGGGCTTCACAGGATGACCCCAAAACAAGGCTGAGCAGGTATCTGCAGGGTGATCTACTCAGCAAACACCTAAGCAGGGCTCAGGTTTGGAACTTCGAGTTAGACACCTTCAAACTGGAACCAAGGTACATTTGGCTTCCTAAATCATGTGTAAACTCTTGGAAGAGCTTTAAACCAAGGTCAGATGTCATACTGAAATAAATACACCCTCAAGTAACAGGCATTGGTAGAGGAGTCACTCAGGAAAATGTTCTCTTCAGCCCACAGGACCATTTTAAGTGGCTGTTGTCAGAGGTCTGTCACGGGGCTGGGAACAGCAGTTTCAAGCTCTGAACATCTCTACAATTAAAAAATAGAGAGAGAAACAAGGGCAGCAAAAAATAAAACACCAAATGAGAGCGTGGTCAGCCCTTTCTGAAGCTGGTGGAGCTCTGATGGTGTGGAGGAAGCTCCCCTCCCTTACGTGTATCGTGACCACTTGGGGTGATGAGGCTTTTCTCACTCCTTCCCTGGTGTCTTCTCCTCTCACCTTGCAGGCATGATGATTTTTTCTTCCTTACTGACCCTGAGCACTTCATTGAGTCCCACTGGCCAGAAGACCCCCAGTGGCAACTTCTCCAGCCCCCAGTCTCACGGGAAGACTTTGAGCAGAGGGTTTTTAAAACTTCAGAGTTTTTCAGGCTCCAGCTCTCCCTCCTCTCTCCAGACACTTCCCTCCTCAAAACAGGTAAACGCAAAGTGAGGGCTAAATTCTGATAACAGAAAACCCTGCTTGCTTTTAAGGAGTAAATTTTGGTTGAGGAAAGCATTTCTCCTTCAGAAATGGCCCACCTGTCTATTTTTATGCATGTTAACAGCAGAGGCACATATTTGAGCAATTTCTGAAATCAGGGCTATTGTATGATACTATGATTAGCAAACTGGGAATTAGGGTTCATCAGCTATAGTTAATTGAGCCAAATCACTTAAGCCCTTTTGTGCCTGGCTTTTCCCATCTAAAGCCACCAGCAGTAGCCAAACAGCCTCAGCAGTACCTGAGACACAATTCTCATTGTGTTCACGGGCTGGGGAGGGAGACTCCCTGATAAAACATGGCCTGAAAAGTTCATGTCCCATTTTTGAAGATGAAGGGGAGGGGGTGGAGTTGGTTTTCCTTGATTGTAGTTTTTTTGTCGATTTTTTGGGTTGGATAAAACCTGATTTTCTTTTTACCTGGTCGCCCTTTGTGGATTCATTCCCCTGGATGGTCCCAAGAGTGTATGGATTTTTCCTGCCATTTATTTTCTCAAGACAGAGAGCTGGGAGATAAACCAATCTCAGACTGAGGGGAGTTGGCAGGATTACAGAAAATGAACGTATGACACACAAAGCTTTTGACTGAGGTTATAACTTACCCAGAAATCAAACTCCTCCAGTATTTCCAGGATGCTGAGATTGCCAAGATGGGCTGTCACAGACCTTTTGAGCAGCAAGTGGCCTGTGCAAACCAAATTACATTGGGAAGAGCTCAAAGGTCGATGCTGCCTTTTATGCAGAGCTCTTGTGGTGCTTCTCCACCACACGACCTCAGAGCATCCTGGGGAAGGGACTTTGTCTGCCTCTACTCGAGGTCACACAGCACTTAGGTGGCAAATGCAGGAATGGAGACTTGGAGAAAACTCTTCCACGTCTAGCTCACCAGGAAAGCTCCATGGCATAAAACCAAACAACACATCCTCTGCTGTCTCAGAGGAAAAACAGGAGCTCAAGAGCCCAACCAGTCCCTTCATCTGGGTGCCAAAGAGATAAATTGCAAAAAATAGACTCCTACTAAATATTATTGGTGGTGGTTCAAGAGCCCAAATGGAAGAATGAGGAAAAATAAGTATTTCACTATTCTCTCCTCTCCCTCCTCCAGTTATTGGTTGCCAAAAGACATAAGGATGGAGCCCAGAAGTGGCTCAGGGCTTTGGATCCTTGTTGGCCACTGTCTGCTATGAACCAAAAGGGTTCTGGGGAGAGATGGGAGAGAAGCAAACTTGCCAGACACATCCCAACAAAATCACTCCTTTGCAACCTCTTGGCTGGAGGAATTCCTGCCCCTCAGTGACAAAACTCACTGGGTGACGTGGGCTACAGGCATAGTTTTCTTTTTTTCCCAAAAAAAATGAGATTAAAAGAGATTTTTCTACTGAAACGGCAAAAAAAAACCAACCCAAAAGGCAGCTTTTTTTTCCTCCTTTGTATTTCTTGTCTTGTGGAGGGAAAGAATAATAGACACATCCCAACTAAATCACTCCTTTGCAACCTCTTGGCTGGAGGAATTCCTGCCCCTCAATGACAAAACTCACTGGGTGACGTGGGCTACAGGCATATTTTTCTTTTTTTCCCCAAAAAAATGAGATTAAAAGAGATTTTTCTACTGAAACAGCAAAAAAAAATACCAACCCAAAAGGCAGCTTTTTTTTCCTCCTGTGAATTTCTTGTCTTGTGGAGAATAATATTCCTGGACCTCACCTGAAGAGTTTAACCATTGCAATGAGCCTCAACAGCCAGCCCTGTATCAGAACTGTGCTTAAACCACCAAACTGAACACCCAGATTTGAACCAAACTGCATGGTTTAAAATTAAAATTATGTTTATATTGATCCAGGCTGATGGAAGGAAACCCCTTACAGGGCACACTTATGCATCTGATGTAATCTCAGTGCACAAACACTCGACATCTTTGGTGCAAAATCAGCCTGTTTTCCCTTTTTTGGCTAAGGCAGATCAACTCCTGCTCTATTTGAGCAGCTCCCATCTGCTTAAAACGCTTAGAAGCTTTCAGCCAAGATTCCTCCCACAAATCACTATCTGATGGGAGCTGAAGGTGGAACACCTTGCAAAGGAACTTGATTTTCAGGAAATCCCTGGCACCCATCCTTGGAAAACTCAGCTTTTTTAATTGCCAGTGTTGCCTGGGGTTGGTGACTGCCATGCTGAAGGGCATTCCTATGGAATGAGGATTCTATAAGATCTATTTTTTTTTGTCTAGAAATGCAACCACTGGTGGCATGCTGTCCATACAATAGCTCGGGTGGAAGAGGGGAAGGGGAGGCCTTTTAAACAAGAGTCTGAGAAATTAAAAACATGCCCTTGCTTTAATGGTGGTGGTTTTCCCTCCACACAATTAACACAACACACGTTGACCTCCCACGGCACCGACGTGCTGACATGGGAACACATCCCCAGCTTCACCTGGCCTCCTTGGCAACAAGAGATCTCTCGTGCATGGCTTGAATTAACTCAATAACACAAACAAATGTTTGTTTTAAACGTAGCCATTAATTATCTCCTCGGGTCTCCTTCCCCAAGCAAAATCCATTGCTGGTTTCCCTATCTCACCATCGCTGGCTCCGCTGCATACAATGTTCTGTTCTTTTCTTTCTTCCTAAAGATCCTAATACGATGCAGCCAGCCAGGCCAGCAGCTTCAGAAACTCACATAGAGAGAATTTAATAACAAGCAAACCTGCAGTTAATAAAGTCTGTCATCAGTAATGTCTCCACTGAACGCTTGCCAGGAGAGAATTGTTTGCACTTACTGTGTGAGCCAAGTCACAGCTTTAACAGGCAAGGCACAAATAAAACCCAGCCTTCCCATTCTTTTCACATCTCTGTTTCGACCTACCAACAAAAAACTGGGGGGCAAACAATGAAAAAATCCAGACTCAAACAGAAAAAAAAAAGAAAAAAAAAAAACAAAATAAAGGGAAATAAAATAGTCGCCCCCCACCATTATTCATTAGCTTATGAAACACGTTTCATAAGCTAATAATTAGCAAGGGACAATTTTTATTTATTATTCAGCATGAATCTGGAGTAATTTGGTCATTTTGTGCTAGCACCCAAAGCAAAGGAACGTTGTGCATGGTGTGGGTGCTGGTACCAGCCGTCGCTCGGTGCCCCCCAATCCCCACCAAACCCATGGTGAGGATGGGCTGATGTAGAGCCACTCATCTCTGGAGGTGAGACCAGCCATCCCTGAGCACCTAGGGAGCCTGGGGAATGGAGAGCAGGCTTAATTTCCACACACCTTGAGGGTGGTGGGTTTAAACATGCATCTTAACGTCTAGTGCTGGTCAAGGGCTTTATGGAGAACTCTGGGATCCTTTAAGGGCAAAAGGGCTCGAGGTCTTGTTCTCTGTGGCTGTTTTTCTCGTGTTTTCATCTATATCTGGAGAAAAAAAAGGGTGTAAAATATCATTAAAACAGATTTTTCTAGTCAGGCTGCTCTGGTACCTGTGGCTCCCCATGGGTTGGTGTAACTCACCAAGTGCTGAAAGCAGCCTGGTGTCTGCTGGTCAGACTGCCCCATCTTCTTCAGGGCCAGGATTTCAGGGCTTGCAAACCCTTGCCCTGACTCCATTGCAAAATCAGCCAGCCAGCCCCTCTCCTACCCAGGAGAAGATGGAACAAAAGAGCTCCAGCACTTATCCACCAACCACGGTACCACCACCAGGTACCCACACCAACACACATCCCCTTTGGACCTCCTGCTCTCCCCTCCTCCCAGGTTAACACACACTTCAAGCCAAAAGGTTTTGGGTTTTTTTGTGATTTGCTGAGGCCAAAATTTAGGAAAAAATATTTAAATAATAATAATTAATAAATTCATTCCTAAAACGTGGCAGTGATGTGGGATCTCCTAGGAGCCAGGCTGGGATATTTTGATCCTCCCAGCTGCTTTGTTGGTTTGACACCATGGTATAAGACCTACAGCTTAAAGGAATGACTCCAGCTGAAGAAGCCATGCAAGAATTTCCTCACAGGGGACATCATCAGCTTAGGTTTGGGTGTCTCAGGGCCCAAAGGACAACTACCTGTACCTGTCCCCTTCATCTGCAGATCTAGTGATATCATCATGTCTCTTTCAGCAAGGAGAGAAGAATGGTAAAAGATGAAGTAGGGTCTTGCTCAGGTCCTTCAGCAGGTAGAGGCAATAAGAGAAGAAGAATCAAGTCTGTGTCTCCTGTGCATACGATTTGGTTCAACACTGCCAATCTGAACGTGTTACACTGGTGATGAAGAGTTTGTACAAGTGTCTTCTTCACCCTTCTACAGCCCATGGGGAGGTGTCGGTGATGCTGAGGAGCACCCACCCAACAGAGTTCACCTACCAGCTCTCCAAACTCCAGGGCACCACAGATGGGGAGGATGTGGGTGCAGTCCACGGGATGATGACAATATCTGAGAACAACATGACCATCAAGGTGACTCCCCCAACTGAGGGCTTGTTCGACCTCATGATCTTCGCACGCCGCGCCGACTCTCAGGACCCTTACAACTGGGTGTGCTCCTACCAGATCCAATGTCTGGAACCACACCATGGAGAGAAACTGCCTGAAAATCCTTTTCATTTCTGGGGCCTTCACCCAAAGGTGAGAGATTTTGGCATCAAGGGGAGCAGCCCCAAAGGAGAGCTGCTTGTTGCTCCAGAGGGAACTTTGCTCTTGACTCTCCAGACATCCCGACCCTTGCTTGCAACGTATGAACTGGTTCATAAAGATTTAGATGCTGCTCTGAGCAAGAAATGCCTGGCTGCCCAAACTGAGGAGGAGAAGCTGAGCTGCCACGTCCTCTGCCCATTCCAGGGCTGCTATCGGCTCTCCGTGTTTGTGAAAGATTTCGGAGGCATCACATTCAGGAACGTGGCCAACTTCCTCCTCCGTTGTTTGAGGCCCATCAACCAGAATGAACTCTTCCCCTCGGGGCTGAGCCTGCACTGTGGGAGCGGGATCAGCTCCAGCAGCCACGGCCTCTCCAACCCCAGCCACTCTGTCCCCATCATCACCACCCGCCTGGGGAAGTGCAACATCACCTTCCACACGCCCCCCGACCTCGAGGTGACCGCCAGCTTGAGGAAGGACAAAGCCATCACCCCCAAGTACCCCCTGGAGAGGTACCTCCTGGTCACCCACCTGAGGGCTAAAGTCAGCGTGTGTGTCGTGCTCCCCGAGTCAGGCGTCTACAAAGTGGGGATTTTTGGGAGGAGCCAAGACCAGAAGGACTTCGTCCATATTTGTGACTACATCCTACGTTGCTTCTCGGAGCCCTGCTGGCCTCCCTTCCCCAGGGTGTACAGCCTGTGGAGAAGAGGGTGTGTGCTGCTGGAGCCACGCACGGGGATGCTCCGGGAGCAGAGCTGGGTCCGGTTCAGGGTCAAGGTGCCCGAAGCCCACCGAGCTGTTGTCCTCGGGCAGGAGAAGACAGAGCTGCAGCAGAGCCCCAGCGCCATCTGGGAAGGGGACGTCTTCACCGGGGCTGCGGGCACGCAGGTCAAACTGGCAGCCAAATTCAACCAGCACTCCTCCTCCCTGGAGGTCCTCCTGGTGTTTGAGGTGGAGGGTGGCTCACCCGCCTCCCTGGGGTGTTCGGGGTGAGCCCCAGATGTGCTGGAAGGACTCAAAGAGCCAAAGGAGGAAGCAAACGCCCTCAAAACTAGGGGGTGTTGAGGAGACACAGAGAAAACTCCCAGAACTTTACGGTGTGTTGAGGGGAGTCTGGGTGTCACCCACAGAGCTCTTCTTCCCACAGGGTATCCAGATACTTGCTGGGGCCTCCTGTCCCGCTTGGAGATGTTGCTGCTCTTTAAATCACCACCAACATATGGAAGGCTCCTAATATTTTGCTTCTGTCAGAGGAAACCATTGTTCAGCTTCTCTACAGGAAGGATGTCTCACTGCTTATTACCAGCTTGAATAATTGTCTGGAATGTTTTATTTGACATTTACTCAAGAAGTTGGAAACCCACGTAGTTTCTTTCTCTTGAGAGGATAACAACAACAATTAAAAAACAAAAAATTAAAAAAAAAAATTAAAAAAAAAAAAGCCCAAACTTAAGCCAACCATTTTGGATGATTTTGACTTTTAAAACGTAAATATATAGTAAAAAAAGTAAGACCTCCCTTGCAGAGGGACTCTGTGCTTGGGCAAAGGAAACAAAGAGATGTATTGTATCATCTAGGTCTTTAAAATATCTCCCAGGTTCTTATTATCAAGGATGACACGTAGATAAATGCTCCAGAGCGTTGAGGGCTTGAAACAAAGAGAGGGAGCAGGCAAGGCAGCAGCTCTGTAGCCCAAGCATCTAAATGCTGAGCTGGAAGCACTAGCACCTCTACTCTTCAACTCTGAGATGTGCTGCAAGGCACCACAACCATCAACTTACTTTAATACTGAGTTGGGAGACCATAGGGTGGGAGATAAGCAGTGGAAATGCTTCTCCATGCTTGCACTGGACACGGGGAATCTGGTTGTAATAATGAAGAAGAATGGTGGGTTGGTTTTGGATGCTGTGCAACAGATGGTGAGGGGACACGATCTGCATTCTTCAGGTTCAGCTGTTTAAATTTGACTGGTGGGAAAGGTTCAAGGAGATCTGAAACTTTTTTGGGTCTGACAGTCATTTAATGCAGGTAATGCCTCAGAATCCACCTTTCACACCAAACTTGCTGGAACCATGCTGATGTGTTGGAAGATTCCCCTGAAGAACAAGGTACAAGGACTACTTTGAATTAGGGGAAGCACTTACTAGGGTAGACACAGGCTAAACCCTTGCTAAAGAACAATTTAAGAAGTACAGATCCCTGGATCTTCTCATGTTCTGCCTTCTACACACTGGGCCATCCACTTGGATCAATGTGGGAAGGAGAAGCACAATGTGACTTGGCTCTTTTGGGAGGTTTTCAAGAGGAACCATAGACCAAAAAAGTCCTGCTCACTGTGAGCCTAAACAGACAACCCAGAGCCCAGCCCCAAAAGGCAGAGCCTGGAAAGCTGCTGGCTATCAGTGTTGTCCTCTGAGCTCTCCCCACCCGTGAACACCTTTACACCTCCAGGACCAAGAGTCTTGTGACCACGCTGTGCTCCCTGAGCCACGGGGATGCTGCTGTCCAGCTCTCCAGACCTCCTGGGTGCTTCCCAACCTCTGCACTCTCCACAGCCAGCACTGGTAGTGAAATTGTGGCTGCAGACCCAGCAGGCTCCCAGAGGCTGCATTTTTTTTGTGTTCTTTGGAAGCATTTTGGCTTGGCAAAGAAAAATGACTGACAAGGAAAGTGACTCTCCATTCCCACCACCATCTTCCTCTCCTTGTCCCTTTTCCTTTCCACTCAGTTCTGCTGTTCCTGTTCCTCAGCTGCTCCTCTCGAGCCACCCTACATATCTGTGTGTACACACATGTTGTTAGCTGAAAATGTCTCATCTTTACCCAAATTTCAGCAGGCAGGACTTGATCACATGCGCTCAGGGAAAATCCAGCTTCCAGATGAGTGATTAATTCTTCCTTATCCAATCATAATGAGGTCCAGATTAGAGTTACCTTGAATTGAGGGCCTTGAATTTATGTCAGAATATAATTCCGTGGAGGTGCTGAGAACTTCAATGACACTCCCACGGGGGATTTTTTACTTCAAAGATCTGAAGTCAATCTCCTCAGATTTCCTCCCTGTGCACACGGGGGTATTAGCATGTAACCTATTTTAAATGTCATTCTTATTTAGATTTGCATAACTCAAAGCCCGAGCCTCCACCTCTAGGAGCCTTTGCAATAAACACCAGCACCAGCTTTCCAAAAATAACAGCCCTGGGGCAAGCATCACTCATGAACAAAGCATGAGAAGCAGAAGAACAATGTCCCTCCTGTCTGTCTCTCCTCCCCTCGCCCCCTCTACCCAGCAGGATTAAATCAGGTAAAGAGAGGTTGCAACACGTGCCTGTGGCTATAAAACACACCTAGTTCTGAGCTAACTTCACTCAAACAGTCATTAGGAGGCCTCCAGCTATGGAGCAAGCTGTGGATGGACAAAAGTTGAACAGAAGGCTGCACCCAACGTTCTGAGCCATCTTGGTTGAGAGGTCCAGGTCAGGATTCCAATCATGGAATCGTTGTGGCTGGAAAAGAGCTTTACAATCATCAAGTCCAACTGTTTGCTTAATACAGCAAAGGTCACCACTGCCCCGTGTCCCTCAGCACCACTTCTACATGGCTCTGAAACCCCTCCAGGGGTGGGGACTCCACCACCCCACTGGGCAGCCTGGCACAGCCCTGGACAACACTTGCACAGAAGACATTCTTCCTGCCCATCCTCAACCTCTCCTGGGGCAATTTGAGGTCATTTCCTCTTGTTCTATTGCTTGTTCCTTGGGGACAGAGACCAACCCAACCTCATTGCAACCTCCTGTCAGGAGCTGTGCAGAGCCAGAGGGTCTCCCCTGAGCCTCCTTTGCTCCAGGCTCAGCACCCCCAGCTCCCTCAGCTGCTCCTCCCCACACTTGGGCTCTAGACCCTTCCCCAGCAGCTCCGTTGCCCTTCTCTGGCCACGCTCCAGCCCCTCAAGGTCCTGCTGGGAGTGAGGGGCCCAAAACTGACCCCAGGATTTGAGGAGCAGCCTCCCCAGTGCTGAGTCCAGAGGGACAATCCCTGCCCTGCTCCTGCTGGCCACACCAGTGCTGCTCCAGGCCAGGATGCTGGTGGCCTTCTTGGGCCCCTGGGCACACACTGGCTCATCTCCAGCCAGCTATGAACCAGATCCCCCTTTTCCTCTGGGCACTTTTCAGCCACTCTTCCCCAAGCCTGGAGCACTGCAGGGGGTTGTTGTGACCCAGGTGCAGGACCAAGGCAGGTAAGATCATGAAGGGCTGAGCAAGGAACCTTCATACTAAGGACACGTTCCACAAGGTAAGACAGCAGCCACCAACTGGGCTGAGCTGTCCCCTTCCTCTATGGATCCATATGTGATCTCCATCAAATGTGGTGTCCAGACTCCTTGGCTTGACACATTTCCCTGTGCTGTGCCTCAATTCATCTTGACATTAGTGTAAATTACATTAATACTTGTTTTGGCTGAATT